ATGGGACTGACATGCAGGTTTCTTTTGAGTCCCAGATGCCACAGTGTCTCTCATTATCATCAGCACCACAATCCTCCCTCCAAGAAGAGATTGGACCCAGAAGGGCCTGGGGCACCTGCCTTCAGATGCTTCTTTGGGCTTATTTGTTCTCCCAAGCGACCCGCCTGCTGTGATGGGGGATGACATTCCGTCCTGGCGGTAGGAGGCGGGCAGCAGGGGTGAGCTGCTTTGTCGGCCCGACGTCCTCGGTGCTGTGGGGCCATGGGGCCCAGGCATGTGGCACTGCAGGCCAGTCATTGACAGAAGGGCAAGCAGACTGAGGGTGTGCTCGGTGCTGGTGGACAGGAGACTCAAACAGGTCCCTGCTTCTTGGGACCTTTTCCTTTTGTCACCAAGAAGCTCCATCCCTCTCTGATCTCCTCTCTCCAGACGTGCTGGGGCAAGGTCATAGGGCAGGGCAAGGGGGTAGAATGGAATCTCTGATGTAAGGAGGCCTCAGATGGCTCCCCACTGCTCTCAGAATAAGATGCAGATGCCTTACCCTGCCAGCAGGTCCCCGGGGAGAACGCAACCCGTGAGACTCACAGGCGCCGTCCTTCGACTTGCTCAGCAGAGGCGGCTGAACGAGTAAGCCCTGGGGAGGTAGTCAGAACAGTCGGCTCGACTGGAGTGTGAGGGTGTAGATCAGCCACATACTTGACTCACCCGCACCTGGGTGGTGGAGGAGAGGCATTCAGGGCTGGAAGTGGGGCTGCTGCTTCTCACGGTCACTGACCCTCGCTGGCTCAGAGAGGCTTTTTCTGGCTTCTTGACCCAGGTTTGGAGAAGCCTGCAGTCTACAGGGCATCTCGTTGTGGAACCGTGTGTGTGTGTACATGGGTATTTGTGTATGTGTGGTGTGTGGTGTGTGTGTGTGTGCGTGTGTGTGTCCGGGATGGGCGGTGGGGAGGATGAATGCCTTCAGAAGAGGGGGTCGAGACCTTTAACCTTCACTTCCCTGAAAGCAGACACTTCCGTGGGGAGCGCGAGGCAAGAAGCGAGCCGGCGTCCTTTCTCAGGATCGTCCGAGCTCTTCTTTGCCTCCAGCTTCCCCGGCAGAGCAGCAGGCTGAGGATGGGACCTGTCCCATCGCTGTCAGCAGGGCCCAGGAGGGGAGCCTGGGGCCTGGCCCTCCCTGCTCAGGGCCCGTGACTGCTGGTGTGTGCGGCGGGGGCTGTCAGCACAGCACTCCAGGCAGAGAACGTGGAGCGCCTGCTGCCTGCTGGGCCCGGGGCGGGGGGAGAGGTCTCCAGGTGGGAGAACCCGCACTCCGACCCGCAGGAATCCTGGACACGGCCAAGGAAAAGCTCACCACCCTTTCTTTTGGTTGTAGGAACCATGCCCTGTAAGGAGCCGTCTGTGGCCGTCTCTTCCTGCACCCGGCCAGAAATGCCTTTCTTTGGTTTAGCAGGACCAGCCCTGGCTGGCTCACAGCACGGTGGGGCCAGCCTGGGTCCTAGCAAGTCTCTAGCATTTCCTGAGCCCCACGGGGTGTAGATTAGGTAGGAGGTCTGTGCGGACAGGTGAACGCTGGCTGCTGCCAGCAGTGGGAGGCGCTCCCCGCTGACACCTTTCCAACAGCAGTACTGAGAGCTAACAAACACTTATGGAGCACTTACTGTATGCCCGATGCTCATCTAAGCGCTTGGCAGGCATTAACATTTGTAATCCTCCCAACAAGCCATTATTGTGCCCATTTTAAAGACCAGGAAACTGAGGCTTAGAGAGGTTAATCGGCTTGCCCAAGGTCACACAGCTAGAATGTGGCGGAGCCGGGGTTTACTGAGCCATGACATCTGCCTCTCAGCACTTCCGCAGTGTCACCCTGAAGTGCATGCTTAGTGAAAGACAGAGTGGGAGGGGCAAGGTAGAGCTGTCTCCTGCTGTAGGTAAATCTCCAGCTTCCGCTGGGCTCCAGTGAAGCCCAGAAAGGCTTCGGGAGTGGGTTGGGGCTACAGCCCCGGGAGCAGAGTGTGTGGGGGCTCAGCTCCGGGGGAGGAGAAGGGGAGCAGACCAAGTGCACTTGTCAAGAGATCCCTGAGGACAGCCACCCTCACCCCTCGCCATGCCCAGGCTCTTGGAACGCTCCTGTGTGGGGCTGCACTAGCCACAGGTGCCGTCTTGGCTGGGTGGAGGCCCTGCCCAGACCCCGTGCGTCCTTTCTTGCCTGGGAGCTGTCTGAGCTGGGCCCTGGGCTGTCTCTCTGTCCCCACTGTCCCGCCAGCCAGGCTTGCTTCCTGCCAGGCCCTCTGAGCCACCGTTTCCCCTAAGGCCCTGGGAATGCCTAGGGGTCTCCCAGCCAGCAGCCTGGCTTTAGAAATCTCTCCTCTTCTGGCAGGAGAAATCCTGCTGATTCCTACCGTCCCCCTGAAAAGGACGGATCTCCGTGCCCTCCGGCCTGTGCCCATTTCTGTGGGAGCTGCAGACTCCCAGCTTCACTTCTTCGTTACCCACCCTCGCAGGCCCCTAAGCCTTATGTCCCCTGACCTGGGCCTGTTGCAGGTGATTTTTCAGACCTGGCCCAAGATGGAATATTTATTAGGGAGAAAAGCAGTGTGGGTTTGGGCCCAGAGATTTTTGCCCATTAATATTTTCTGGAATCCTGATTCTGAAGTCGATTCTCCCTCTCCTATGCTGACAATAAGTGTAGGAATCTCACTGAAGTCCATTGGTGGCCTCCTGGTGGGGACAACACAGGGGTGTAAAAAAATGCACCCCAACGCCAATTTTCCAGGCCATGCAAACTTGCTGAGTTGGAAATCAAGCCCACCCAGCAAAGTCAGGGCTGCTTGAAGCCCCTGGAAAGGGGTGGGTGGGACAGGAGGAGGGATGAAGGAGACAGAGGGAGAAAAGGCCTAGGGGCAGAGGTCGGCTCAGAGTCCGTGATTTCTACAAGCCCATCACAAACAAGGCAACTCATCTGAGCCCTGCAAACCTGGGGCTTCCAGAAAGTGTCTGTGACCGTCTACATAAATGGGGTTCTCAGGCCCCGTAACATGGAATGTGCTGGGTTAAAGCAAAATGAGATAGGCTTCTTGGAGGACTCTTGAGAACTTTTGGGAATCTCCAGGAAGAGGGTGGAGGAAGGCCTTCCCAAGCTGATTGGACCACAGAGCGCATTTGGGGGGAATGCCTGCTGGGAATGCTGATTTAACAGAAAGATATCTGGGCCAGGACATGGTAGGACCACCACAAGCCAGCTGGAGGTCCTCGGGCAAGTCACAGCTCTCCCTAAGCCTCAGTTTCGCCATGAAATGAGTCTCTTAACTCCGGGCCTAGCTTCTTCAGAGGACCATTGTGAGAGGGGATAAGAAGATCTGTGGCTGAGAGTGCTTTACACAGAGCGTGAGACACCATGGGAGGAAGTGTTGGTTTGCATCTCGCATTTCTAGAATAATCCATGGTGGCTGGGTCTGACACCCAAAGCGAGGGCACCTGAGTTTCTTCATGGGTTTTGTAAGCTACTTCTGCTGCAAGAGAAAAGGGAACAGTTAATAGATTTGATCTTGGGGTGCCGTCTCTGAGCAGGCCTGGTAATCATACCCCATGAAACTACTGATAACCACCTCGCAGACCCTCCCTCCCCTAAACTAATTCATGCAGGGCTTTATCCTGTAGGCATCAAACTAGTAACCAGTACCAGCCCTTCTCACGCAGGGTTTAGGGAGGCTCTAGGGACATTTGAGAAGGCAGAAGCAATCAATCCCCGAGCTTTCAACAATGACCATAAATGTTCAGTTTAGACAACACACAACAAAGGCCAGTTCAGGCTCAGCCCAGCGTTACTGGGGACACGGGGTGTCTGAGCTACACCCCGTGGGCCTCAGACCCACCCAAGAGACAGCACAGTGGCGTGGGAGTGGGCTCAACAGCAGCTATGGCCTAGATCAGTAGGCTGTAGCCACTCAGGCCCAGGGTGGGGCTGGAGCCCTCCCGAACCACTCAAGAGAGGAGGTGGGATTTGAGCCAGGCCAGAAAGTCGTACTGTAAATTCAGAACCTCAGAACCTCGGTGAGAGAACAAGAGCCTTCTCAAAGCCTCCCTCCCAGTCTTCCCGAGCCCCTGTGTGCGTGGGAGGAATGTCTCTTGGGGTTAAGCTCTGGAATGAGCTTCAAGTGGCTCAACATGAAGTGTTTGAGAACCACTAGTGTGCACTAATTCACCGTCATCGTCACCACCACAATACCACCATTGTTACTGCCACCAACTGCACCACCACCACGACTATTACCATTAGCACTAGCACCACTATCATAACCACCACCTCCACCACTATTACCACAACCACCATCAACTCCATCATCACCACCACCATCTCCATCTCCACCATCGTTACCAGCACCATCACAACCTCCACCACCATTACCATTACCACCACCATCAACCCATCATCTCTCATCACCACTGTCATCACCATCACATTGTCTCCTCCACTGCCATCACTACCACCATTACGCCAGCATCCCTATCACTGCCATCCACTTCATCACATTTTCCACTTGCCTTTGACCACACAGAGGCAAGACTGCAAAATCCAACCACTAGCACCTCTCCTCTTTTAACCATCTGCACCCCCAAATATTCATCTTCATGTCTGTTGCTCATGATCGAAGGGATCAATCATAAGCCTGACCATACATCACACTAGGCTGACCAGACATTCTGGTTTGTCCAGAACAGTTCCAATTCCGGCCTGTTCTTCCTGCTTCATTATTAGTAGCTCCCCTCTTTCATTCAACTATGCCCTGTTTTGCATGACATATTTTATGGTCATTCTAGTTAAGACCGCTTTCAACTTCTAGTTGACCTCCTCAAGAACGAGCAGCCCAAGAATGCCAACCCAGAACAGAGCCTGGTGGGCTAACTGGGAGGGCGTGATACCCTCCTGCCAGTCATTGATAACTAATGGATGTCCCTCGCTCCCCTTCCCTTTCCTTCCCTGCTTCTCTGCCCCCTCCCAGGAAACCACTGAGGAAAGAGGAGAACGGCACCAGCGTGGCTGAGTATCCCATGACCTCCTCGCAGAGCAAAGGGGTGGATGTGAACAGCGCCGTGGTGTGAGTCTGCAGGCCCTGGACCCGCTGCCAGAGGGGCACCTTGGTGGCACTAGTGGACACGGGGAGGCAGGTGGACACAAGCTGCCTCAGGGCTTGTCCAGGACTTCATTGCCTTGCAGGCCTTGAGCCTCCCAAAGGAGAAATCATCCTCTTCCCAGCCTTGCCCCTGGTTAGGCCACAGGCAAGGGCAGTGCAAACGCCAGGCTGAGCCAGGCTCACCTGCATGCTGCACCCGGAGCAGCGCCCCTGCCCGAGGCTCTCCATGTCTCTTCCTTGTCTTGCGTTCCATCTGCTGTCACCCAGCTGCTGTGTAAAGCACTTGCTCTGACAAAGGCAGGGAGTCTGTCTGCTGGGGCCGGGAGGCATCCCCCTTCAGCCAAAGCAAAGGCGATCCAGGGGCCACTCCTCTGCCAGAAAACCTCTTCTCCTGCCCAGGAAGCCTGCCTGCTTCTCCGTTGACCTTGCCATTCCCAACAGAAGCCATCGGCACAGCCCTGAGATGTCCCCTTTCAAAGGTGCTTCCCACACATCTGTCCATTGCCCCATCTGCGACTGTCTTCAGTCTTCAGGGCCCGCCTTCTCCCTCCTGTCCCCATCAACACTCTGGGCCCCTGACTCCTGACTCCCTGCTGCAGAGGGCTGTGAGCCCGGCCTGCAGAGTCTCCTCCTGACTGAGCAGACAGAGGGGCTCGTTTACACTCTGGGGTAGTGTCTGGCCTTCCAGGGGCAAAACAACTCACGGAACCCTAGGCCAAGAGCCCGGGAAGGACAGAGGCCACTACGCCTCTTCTTGGACTCATTCCCACACCTGACCCTCGTAGGAACCAATGCAGCCATGTGAGCCAGGCCCTGCCTCCTCCGACAGAGGCCACCACTTATGCCAAACCCACTGTGGGCACTCTGGGCTGGGCCGAGCTGGCCTGGTGCAGGGTCTCCCTGACACTCCCCTGAGACCCTGAGCAGGTACTCAGACCTTCTCCTGAGAGCCCCCAGGCATCCCCTCGCCAGAAAGAGGTGGTATTCTTCCAGTGGCTCTCTTTGAATGTCCCTGTGCGAGGTCTTATGTTCTAACATGCTGACCCCTCGAGAGTGGTTAGTGGATGAAGGGAAGGGAGAGGGTGGGAGGAGGGGACCCTCCAGGCCCGGTAACCCCGGTGTGCCAGCCTGTTTCCCATGTGGGCATGTCACTAGGACCATGGAGACTGCGGCCTTGTGGTTTTGCATCCCCTGGTGGATTGGAAGAACACTTCTGACATTGTGGTTCCCTCACCACCCACACACTTACTCAGAAGGAACCAGACACATTTAATGGTTCCACTTTCTGGCTATGTAGGAACTTAGCTAGGTAGACCCCATCTGCCTGCCAAACCACCAGTGTAGCTCTCTGGAGGGTGTAGGTTTCTGGAGGGTGTTGGGGCCACAGGTGAGACTTTCACATCCAGGTGAGACTGACAGACTGAAAACTCGTCCCCATTTGTGCTGAACTGAGACATCCATTGTCACAGAGCCCTTACACCCACTGAGTTGTCTGTGTCCAGCTGTCTTTTGGAGAGCAGAGGGGAGAAGGTGAGTTTGCTGTGACTGTAACCCAGGTCCTGCCCCCAGGTCACTGGGTACAGGCTGAGGACAGGACCAGTGCATACCCTCCCAGAAAGAGTTTTCTTTTCCATTTTCCTTCCATGAGGACTTGGTTTGGTTTGGATTCGGGTTTTGCTTTCCCTGTGCACCTTAGCATGGCACAGTGCCACCAGTGACCTTCAGCATTGCCCCCAACCTGGTGAGCACTTTACAGGACTCTTGGTTGACGCCCTCCACTTCCCCAAAGGATGCAGAGCTGGGTGACAAACAGGCTAGAGGGTGAGGGTCCGCAGCAGGGCAGACCCCACCCCAGTGCACTTTTCCCCTCTGCCTGCAGTCTCCTGCTGATTCCCCTGCCTCTTCCCTGCGCAGACACCTGGGCAGGTCCCTGGTCCTAAGCACATGCCACCCTGGGCTCAGAAGTGATGGGAGGGCACCTTTGGCCAGAGAGGGGATTCTGGCTAAGTGTCATGGAGTGCTGAGCAGCCAGCCTGGAGGGACATGGAGGAAGAAAGGGCATAACCCAGCTTTGCACAAAGTCACCCGTCCTACCTTCTCTGACCTTGGCTTAAACCTAGGAGGCTTGGATTTTGCAATTAGCCTAATCCTCCAGCCCCAGGCGAGGCTCCCCTGGAGGAACACCAGTGAACCATCCATCACACTCGGGCCAGTATCCCCTTCCCTGGGGACACAACCAGGACTCGGTGAAAAACTAAGCTTGTGCATAAATTCCCCCAAATTGGGTTTGTAAAATCTCTTCTCACCCAGTTAATGAAAACCAAGAGAAGAGCCCAGTTTTTGACAAAGAATTCGCTTGAGAACACCCCCCCGAACTCAGAACCCGCCATTCGGAAGACAGTTCTCACAGGTCCAGCGAGGCAGCCCCACCAGATTTTTAGCTTAAGCAACAGAAATGTCCCTAAAACCACCCTGGCCTCGTATTTGAGCTTAGAACTTTTATTTAAGGAATCTATCTGGAGCCCCTGAACACAGACCAATCCTCAGAGTAGTCCGGACTTGAGGTCGAGAACGAAATGCACATTCCTGCTCTGCATTTTCTCAAATAGATATTTTTCAACCGTCTCCTAGTTGAGCCCAACTTTAGAATGGCATATAGGATCTCCCAGAGTTTTCAGATGTTCCTCAGAAACTTCTAAAGCAAGTTTTGGAAGAAAGACTAATAGCTGTAAAAATATAGACATATATATTATATATAGTTATATATATATTTAAAGAGATATCTATATATATATACAAAATTACTGTACTCTCTGAATCTGTACAAAGTATGATTTAAACAGCACAGGTAGTGTGAGATGTGTAATGCATGAATGTAAATATCCTGAGATCTGCCTTCCTAACGATGTGCTGAGTGTACACGGGAAGATGGCTCTTGTTCCTAGGAGTTCTGTCTCGATGGACAAACGTACAATCGGTGCCGACTTGTCCACCCACGAGCCATTGATGTCAATTTTGTGCTGAGACTTTGCACAGGAAGCAGGACCGCAGCGTTGGGGGTGGGCTGTATGCTACATACGAGGAAGAAAGCTCCACACCTTTTTTATTTTCAATAAAAACATACTTATAAAGACGGCTGTCACTTGTTGTTTGTGGCGGGGGCTTGGCCCCGGGTGTGGGGTGGGAAGGAGAGAGCAGGCTGAGTGTGGGGTGGGATCCTCCCTGGAGGCCCTGCTGTAAACCCAGGGCTGGGCGTGGTATTCCACTTGCCTAGTTTCAGGATGCTTTTATCGTAATGCCCCAAGGCCAGCATTTATGGAGATTCTAAGTACCATTCCTGTCCCTCATCCCCTCCCTGGCCATCTTGATCTTGACTCAAATGAGAAGAGGGTGACCAACCGTCCCAGTTTGCCTGAAACTGGGAGGTTTTCCTAAAAAGTGGGACTGTCAGGGCTAAAACAGGAAAAGGGCCAGGCAAACAGGACAAGTCAGTCACCCTAATTTTTTTTTTTTTTTTTGGTGAGGAAGATTGGCCCTGAGCTAACATCTGTGCCAGTCTTCCTCTATTTTGTACATGGGACGCCTCCACAGCATGGTTTGATGAGTGGTGTGTAGGTCTACACCCAGGATCCGAACCCGTGAACCCCAGGCTGCTGAAGCGGAGCACGAAAACTTAACCACTACGCCACCAAGCTGGCCCCTCAGTCACCCTAATTTGACAACTGATCGTAGGAATCATGGGGAGCGAGAATCAGGGGGCCATGCTGGAGGGGAGATGGGGTAACCCTGTGGCCAGTGTCGGGCCCCCTGTTGTGTCCATCTCCGTGTCTAGACCTCAGCCCCTCCAGAGTCGGTCTGCAGTGCCCCCTCACCTGACCAACTGCTCAGAGCACCATGTATGACCCGCCCTGCGCCCTCAAGCAGACAAGGCCCAAAGAGCACAGGCTCACCCCAGGCTCACCTGCTCCCTGGAGGGAGTGGAGTGTCAGCTGCCTGCCGGGGCCTCCCGTCCCCTTTTCCAGCCTGGCCAGAAGCAACCCGTCTCCCCAGCACTTCTGGAAGGAAGAGGTTCCTGTCGGATGCGCCAGAAGAGATGTAGAAAGAGAAAGCAGTTGCCCCTGCAGCATCATCCCTCCCATCCAAGGAGTGAGGAGACAGGTCAGAGATGGAGTGTGACAGCCAAGGCCACGCAGACATCAGGAAATGGGTGGGGCTGGGATTTGAACCCAGACTTGAGTGTCTTCAGCACCCAGCCACTGGACACAACCAAGGGGAACCCCAACCCAGTGTATCTCCCCACAGTTGGGGTGCTGCTGGGCCCCGTCACTCCCACCTGGGTTCCCCACAACTTCAAAGTTAGCTCAGTGGAGGCAATTGGGAGGGCCCTGCATGCCCAGAGCTAGGGGCTGGGTATTTCCCCAACCTGGCCCACAGCCTGGGGGGATGGTCAGCTCCGGGCAAGGGGTCTGCAGAACGGGCCCATGTCCCAGGCATCCAGGGTCAGGGCAGTGGAGGGGAGCTGTGGAAGTTCCCCCAAGAGCCAGGAGGCCTTCATCTCAGTAGTGCCCCCACCACCACCTGGGAGTCCGTGAGCTGCAATTTGCCGAAACTTGACACATATGTGACACATATATGTATCACATACATATATGGTAGGCACACAGTGGGTGGCAGCCATCATTGCTGCTATTGTCACTGCTGTCATTAATAAAAGGCTGCCATCCAGGCCACAGTGAGAGCTCCTCTGCACACTGGTCATCCACGTGGGTCCTCCTGCTGATGAGGATTCAGTGGGACACCTCAGGCCTTGTACACACTCTCGTGCACCCCAGCCTGGCCAAACTCACAGCGGCAAACCCAGAGCCCAGCAGGGCATGAGGCAGAGAGGCAGGCCTGTGTGTGAGGCTCTGCTGACTCCCGCAGGTGCCCTGGGCACGGGAACCAGAGCCAGCCTGGGAGGAAGGAGGGGATTGCCGAGTACAGGCACTGGGGAGCAGGCAGCACAGAGCTACAGTGGCAGACCCCTCCTAGGGGCCACTTCCCATCTCCACTTCGAATCTCTGGGGCTTTTGGCCACTTGTTCCAGCTCTAGTGACCAACATAACAAAGAGCGTATGCTCCGGCCGCCTGCCAGTCTCAGGCCGGCCCCGTGGGCTTCCCAC